AATATTATTTATATTTATTTTAATATATATATATATATATATATATATATTATTATAATTAATATAATAATATTATATTATATTATATTTTAATATAATAACATATTTAATTTATATTAATTATATTATTAAATTAAATGAAAAGAATTTTTACGTGTTTAAACAATTCTCACAGTGATCAGAGAGAGAAAGAAAGAGATTTTGCGGGTAAATCGATACGCTTACGGGATAATAAGCATAATCGGATGTTTGGTGGCTCGCGTAACGAAAGACGGCTAACATATTGTTCGTTTGTAGGGGTGCCTGTTACTATTACCACTACCACCACTATCAACAACCACCACCACCACCATCACTACAATCACCRTCACCGATACGAGATTTTAGCATCGGGGTTTCTCTTCCTCCTCCTCCTCTTCTCTTTTCTATTTCTATCTTTCTCTCTTTCTCTGATATTCTCCCTATAGTCATGGTGGACCCCCCATGGGAACATTTCACACCGGTAACCACCGCAAAGCGTTTGGAGTCTCCCTTCTTCCTTTAACACAGTTAAACCATCCCTCCTACTTTTTCGCTGTAGTTTTGGTTAACTCAAAGTCGATTTAGTTAGGGATGCTTTGCCACTTGATTTATAACTCATGAAATCGAATAGGTAGGTAGTATCTTTATCCACTTTATTTTATTTTATTTTATTTTTGCAGAATTTGTTAAAAATTATGATGGAACGTGTACGTCTACTTAAAGAATCATTAGATTGGATAATTTATATATTTATAATAAACCGGTTTGTACAGGGTGAATAAGTTTGTGAGTAATATTGTCGAACAATTTTTGTTTGCAACAATTTTCTTTGCAAATTGGAAAGAGAAGGAGAATGAAAGAGAGAGAGAGAGAGAGAGAGAGAGAGAGAGTAGAGTAACACTTACCAGATACACGTGTCGCCGGAGGTAAAAGCTTCGGTCGGTGCGTTTATTAATTAGAGGTTAGCCGAGTAAAACAAGGAAGGACCGCTTGGGTGTGCGTGTGGGAGGTGCACGTTAGTGCTCATGTGTTGTTCTTCTGTACATGAGAATGGAAGAAGGTAGAAGAAGAAGAAGAAGAAGTTAAAAGATAGAAAAAGAAGGTCTGATAGTCTTTCTCCCTTGTTCTCGTAGCATCGGCTGACTTCGTCGAGCACGTCCTGCGGGCTAAGATGAAGATACTAGAAGGTAGGCGGATTCCTTGCTACATAAATCGTAGCTCTAGCTAGTGGCCGAGGTGTTAGGTGAACGCACTGTTGGAAGGTACACCCGCTTGGTTGGAAGCGCATTGTTAAATGTTACACACCTATGAACTATCTTATTCTTCTTATTCTTCTTCCTCTTCTTCTTCTTCTTCTTCTTCCTGCTCACACCTGACTCATCCGTTTCTTAACTCCATATGCAATTCAAAGAACACTAACATTCTCATGGAAATTAGTTTGAAGTATATATATGTATAAATTTAGTGTCACACTGTTGCTTTCCAATTAACTTCGAAACTACTGAGACGATTTTCATGAAATGTTTTTTATTTTGTGTGACTTTTATCAACTTAAGTTGTAGGATCGTTTTTTATCGCGTTTATTTTGTATTTTTTTATCGCTAATTTAAAGATTTATTATTTAGAGGTTTATCTAGATTTTTAGATACTGTAAGTTTTCAATAGATAGTGTCGTATTTTAATTCAATTATTTTAATTTATTATACATACGACATAAACTTACTTTTTCTTTTTTTTTGTGTGTATTATTATTTTATGTATTCCATTTTAATTGTGATATTATTTTGTGTGTTGTTATGGTTTACTAAATAGTTTAGAATTATATTAAATCAACATTTTATAACAAAGCCACAGCAATTCGTAGCCGGAGAACATCCCATATATATATATATATATATACTCGTCTACTTGTACGTTCTGCAAGATGATAGAAAAAAAAAATGATAACCTGATACATGAATGAACAAACGAATGAGATCAATCACGCGCAAATCGTTTTGAGTGTAATGTATATACAGTAACTAGCCCTGACAAAGCCTAGGACTTAATTCTGAAGTGTTCAGAATGAGAATGAGAAAGAAAAGAAAAGAAAAGAAAAGAAAAAAAGAGAAGAGAAGAGAACAGAACAGGACCCATGCAAACGCGTCGATCAACAACGTAGGGGTAGTTTTGATTTTGGCGCCCGTTCCCCAAATGATCCCATAGAGATCGGCACGTGCCAGTCGCACCCTCCGACACACTGCCAAACATAAAAGTCGTAGGCCGTTACTTCTTTTTCTCTCTTTCCTCTTTACAACCCCTCACTCCCTCCCTCTCTCTCTCTCTCTTTCCTTGTTCATCTCTTCGCCAATCCCTTTTCTTCTTCACTTCCCTTTATTTTTTTTTCTTTCTTTTTTCTCTCTCTCTTCGTACGAGTAGCTAAACTCGAATCCAAATGCTCGAGGCTGAATTGTTGCTAAGTCACCGACGTCAACACGGAATAATACACGAATCTTTTTGAGTATTTGCTTAGGATCATTTTTATAGTTTGTTTCTTTAATGTAATATATATACTTAGTCGCGAGAAGTGTTTGTTTTTATACGCAAAAATCGCAATACATTTTATTCACAAATCAATCGTTTAGGTATTTCATTATTTTAATAAAATTTGAGCTTATTCTTGTTTTCATTTGGACAATTGTTACAAAAATATACGTTATATTTCTATACTAACGTTTAGAGATTTGATTTTGTTAAATAAGTTATTAAAACTCGATTAGAAAGTATAGTTTACAATGATGGGAGTCGTCGTTAATCTTCGTAAACGATCATCATTGATCCTTAGAACAAACTTCGTCAGTTTCCCATAGACGACGGACGGACCTGCAGGTTGGGCCCTTTTCTCGCGTAATACTAGGAGGAGGAAGGACTTTGCTTTCTCGACTGCTAAAGCACGAGAGTTCCCATATCAGGAATGCAAAGCTTGATGTATCGACGCTTTATGACATAGGGGGGAAGGGAATATATATATATAGAACGCCCACCCTCCTGAAAAGGTAAGCCGTGCCGACAACGTCATCTCTGCTAGAAGCGAAGTCACCCTAATGGTCGGATTAGTTTCTGATAGCGATGCTCGAACAGGCTTTGGGTTAACTCGAGCGAAGATCTGCATTCATGAAGGATGCTGTCGTAGTTGCACCGTCCTTCTCTATACTACCTACTTCCCTTTCCCTTCTCGTCCACGTTCTCGTCCTCGTCCTTGTTCTCCTCGTCATCCTATACTACTCTCTTCCTCTTCATCTCGGTTGCTATTAATTATTCATCTGCACGACACGCATGATGGCCCCCTTCGTCATGGTTAGAAAAAGAGAAAACTTTGTTAGAAAGTTTTATTATTATATTACGAATTATTTATTTCTTCATTTATGCATGCATACATATAAATTGTATTTATAAATGATTCGTCATTAATTATATTTTTAATGAGAACATAATTTTGTATAATTTATTAGTCGTTAATCTGTAAAAAAGATTTCATTTGACGAGCAATAACTCGGATTAGTTAAGTGTTACTGTTTGTTAAAAACTTGTGACATTTGAACATTATCTTCTGTGATTCGAATAAAGATTTGTTTTTTTTTTTTTTTTTTTTGATAGATCGTTAACTAAGACGAGATACCTTGTGTGTTAGATGGGATATTTCTAAACGTATAACAGAAATCATCTTAAAGGTTTTAATAGTATTCCAGTTTGGAAAGTTCAGAGTCCTTAGTCAATATCTCTCAATATCGTTATCTCTGCTGTCTAAACGACAGAAAAGACAAAGAAGAAAAGAGTAGAAGTAGTAGTAGTAGTAGTCTTAGTAGTAGAAGAAGAATAAGAATAGAAGAGTGGAAGAGACATACCTGGCCTTCGTGAGATCGGTTCTTGGCCTTGTATCTTCTTCGAAGATCTTGCTCTCTGTTTAAGAAAGCAGGGTTGAATGCTACCTCTATCCTTTTCTCATTCTTTCTTTTTTCTTTTTTTTTTGTTTTCATTTCTTTTCATCTCATCTCTTCTTTCTCCGTCTTATTTTCTCTACACACACTCTTCTTCAGCATTCCCTGCAAAAGAATCCGAAATGGAATCATCGTTCGATAGACGATCTGCTCACGGAGCGAACCTTTCAATCATGCGACACCTATCAACTACGAGGGACTCCCAGTCTTCCAAATGAGACCCCGAGAGTCAGCCTGCAACTCTCCTCGTTGGTAAGGGAGGGAGAAGGAGAACGGAGGAAAAAGTGCTCGTGGCGTGATCCTATCAGTGATTCATGAGCTACGTTGAGATATTTATTTGGATCACCCTGCTTAGTTCCCTCGACCGTGTAGTGATCTATCGTATCGTTTGCTGACTCCACGATGTGCTGCTTGCTTTCTTTTAAACATCTCACAGTCATCTTTCTCTTTCTCTTATATGTTATGCTCTAAAGATCGTTGAATTCATTTCAGTGAGTAAAACTTCGATCCTTATTTCCCATATTCAGTTTAATTTGATTATATTGCTTAAAGTTTATGCAATCTAACTTCGATATTAGAGATAGACATATTTTCTTTCAAATATATTCACATAAGTGAATCCTAATTTAACCCTTTCGCTACTATGGGCTATTATAATGGCCCCTTATAAGATACCACTGAGGTACTACGGGCCACTATAGTAGCCCATAAATGTAATAGTATGCTCCATAAAATGCCGCGTATTTTACATACGACGAATATATGCAGTTATAGCATACCAAATATTCCATTATGGAAATGTTATTTTAATGTTTTGTTTCTTTCAATTAAAAACCATTAACTGTAACTAAATTACTCAAAAATAAAGTGCAGTTTCGATGCTGCACGTATTGGCAGCCCGTACAGTAGAAATAAGCCCGTATCGAAAAGGTTAATAATAATACGCTAGAGGTTTGTAATACGTTACTTTTTATTTTTGATTTTATTTTGTATTTTTGTTCAGTTCTTATTGGGCATTTGTTTGAAGGAAGAAAGGAAGGAAGAAAGGAGAACGACAGTGTTGGTAGGTTTTCTTTCTACAGGTTCCATGACACGGGTGGAGCGTGCTCCGGAGAGCGAAAAAGTCCGTCCCGTGTCACGCAACGTGTTTCTCGTTCTCCTATTGGTTCACCTTTAGAACGAGGATCGTGAACGCCCTCGCGCACGCATACGGGACCGAACGAGCGAGCGAGCGGTCTCGTGACCGGTGACAATATTCTCTCAAGCACCATTTTCATCCTTCTTTTTTCTTTCTCTCTTTTTTGTTTTTTTTCTCTTTTTTTTCCGTCTACCCACCTTTTTTCTCTTTTCCATTTTTTATGCCCGCCATTTTGGTGCGCCAGAGCGTGAGAAGGCCTCGGTTATAAAGAGTCTACTCTGTTATATACATATATATATATATATATATGTACATGGACATTTTATATAATATATCTATTCATCGAGACCGGAATTCTGTTATACGATTAACGTGCTCGAACGAACGAACGAACGAACGAATGCACTGGTAGCAACAGAATGTAACTGTAACTTTTGAAATGGAATCAATTCGAACCGATGTCATCTTGTTGTTGCTATTACTGTTTGTTGAATGTTAACTAACGTAATAAGTGGTTTGAGTTAAAACGAGAAGAAGAAGAACAACAACAAGAACAACAAGTTGTACTATAGTTTCTCCAATTTGCGTAGGTTACGTTTGGGTACTCGATCAACAATTATTCGCCTTGGGGGTGCATTATAAATTTTGTCTCCAATCTCTGTACGCGATCTTAACGTTGCGAGAGTGTGTGAGAGAGAGAGAGAGAGAGTAAGAGAGAGTATGCAAAGCGCGAGCAGCCAGATATCGGCCTAAGCATAAATTCCTCAAGCGTTGTGACACACGCCGCAGCATAATCTCGACTCACTAACGGACGCATGGAAGAGAAGCCGGGGGGTCGGGAAAGGGGTGAACTGGTGGTGCTGCTGTTACTGCTACTGCTACTGCTACTGCTACTGTTACTACTACTGCTGCTGCTAGTTATAGTAGGAGGTTGAAAGGGGGTTAGAAGGGAGAGGTGCGACGGCTCGAATCTGCGCAAACCGCGCAGTATCGTCTGAGATTTATGACCCGGAGAAGATAGACCGGAGTGATACTCGTCGAGCGATGAATCCGAAACGGCCTTTTCTCTGCTTCCGATCTCTACCATCATCGTTAGAGTAGCTAATTGCCAAAATCGTACCTTTCAACGTTGATTCTGTTTATTCTTCTTTCTTATACCTTCATTCTGTTATTGTTAATTTCTCTATTTTTCTTTGATTATCAAATAAATATCTTCCTTCGTTCTTTTTCTTGCTTTTAATATCAAGTAATAACGTAAATAGAAAAACGTGTATCCGTTTTATAGCAAACTAGCTAGCTAGCTAACTCGTTGCATGTTGTTTGCTAGTTAACGCAACTAATGTACCGTGTACTATGTGTGGTCCTGAAAAAAGAGAAGCTAGAATGCTTGTAGGCGCCGTTCTATATGTAATCTAAGTGCGGTAACGATAATATAAACTGAAGAGAGAGAGAAGCACTCTATGGAGTAGTGCTTGGGCGCACAAGTGCGCATTGTCGGGCACGCGCTACCACTCTACAGATGCCCAGGCTGAGCTTAGTAATAGCACTTAGCTTTCGAGTATCTCGCATATGCTTCGAATCAGTTGCGAAACTTATCCGGCCGATTGTTCTAAAAGCCGCGACCTACCACCGTACGAACGAACGAACGAATGAACGAACGAACCCACGCAACTTCCTCTTTTTATTATTTAAAGTGTTGTACACTTTCGAAACGTCCGTCTCGATTTTCATCAATTTAAAATTATTCTTACGATAATCATATTAATGATAAATCTTTGAGATAAATGTAACCGATGTTAAATATATAATGTGAAAAAGAAACCACATTTGCAAAGATGCGATAATTTTCTAAGATTATTATCATACAGGAAACGTTGAAAGTTAAAACAGTTATGAAAGAATAAGTTTCTTAGGTTAGAAGTAAGTAAGTAAGTAAGTAAGTAAGTAAGTAGTATATCCAAGAGTTAGAGTAACATTGGTAGTTAGAGAATTAAAAGGAAAACTCGGGAAGGTCTGCTGGTGTAAGCGTAACGAGCATTCTGGCACGATCAAGCACAATAGGGACATACGTTCGCACAGGCGCGTCTCTTTCTCTTTCCCCTCTTAGTAGTTGGTATAGTTCTACTCTTAGAAGCGTGGCACACACACACACAAACACACWTATACATTTAGAAATTCACATCAATGTACATAGAAAGTTCCCATTCTTGAGGAACCTACCGCAGAGTTTCGCGTTGCTACTGCAATGACAGGGGCGCGTGCCCTCACAAAGCACACTTCAGGGATGACTCGAGTGTGTCGTCGTGTCGTTGTCGTTGTCGTTATGGTGGTAGTAGTAATAATAGTAATAGTAGTTAAGCCTTATTGTTTCAACTTACACAGAGGCTACCTACCTACCTACCTACCTACCTACCAACCATCATTGAGAGTTACCGAGCAACGACGATGAATGATGAACGAGTGAAAGAGAAAGATGAGAGGAGGAATGGTCGGAGGGGACCACCAACGCGCGTCGATCAAGTGAGATGCTTTCAATTTTACCACACTCGTGCACTTTCCTTTTAACAAACGTCGACCAATAATACCGAACTGGACGTTCCTCCCCTATTGTTTCTTAGGCGTGCGCTTCTCTAAGCTCATAGAAAGAGAAAGAGAGAGAGAGAGAGAGAGCTTAGTTTGAGGAAACGGATCCTCTCCAAAACGAACGTTTCATGCTTCAATCTTGAACGAATAGAGAGTACGATAATTGATCCTATTTATTCTGGTCCAATTCTTAATCAATTCCCTTCGAATAGAGAAGATGGGTTTAGTTGTTTCTTTTATATTGAAAAGGGAAATCTTGAAAGTGTGTAAGTAATCATCATCGTCGTACAGTATAGAAGGAAGTAGATAGAAATTTCGTTAATTTGCGTGTCCCGTGAACGAGGAAATTGTATGGAGGATCAAGTAGAAAGACACAAAGTGAAGCTGAGAATGGGGTAAAATAAAGAAAGAAAGAAAGAAAGAGAGGAGTAGAGAATTGGAGAATATCCTCGTGACGGGATCCTAGTCAGGATTCTAGGGGATGTTAGGGGGAGGAGGGGAGGATAGGGAGGGGTTGGAAAAGCCAGCCAGCCAGGCAGCCAGCCAGTCAGCCAACAAGCGAGCCAGCCAGCCAGTAAGCCAGTCGGGTACTCGGGGGTGCGGGTGTACAGAGAGAACGAACGATAACGGAGGGACTCGGTTGTCTGATGGCAAGATGGCGTCCTACGATAGTGACGTCACAGGTGGCTCGGATGTGCGGAGTAAGAGAGAGAGAGAGAATTGGTGGGTGGGAGGTTTAGTACGGGCGAGACGAAGGGTGGATGAACGCGAACGGTTAAATAGAAAGAGAAAGAGAGAGTGAGAGAGAGAGAGGGAAAGGAAATGGGAAAGAGATAAAGCGAGAAGGTGGAGATAGAGAAAGAGAAAGAAGTGAGTATATGGTGGGAGAAGACAAGGAGAGAGGGAGAATGAGGCAAGAGGAGAATCCGCGAACGTAGGAAGAGACAGAATCACGAATCGAGTGTGTGTGTGTGTGAGAGAGAGAGAGAGAAAGAGAGAGAGAGAGAGAAAGCACGAAGCTGAAGTACGAGGGAGTACCAAGAGGAGGGAAGTGGAGCTGGATGGAGGTTGGATGAGGAGGTGGAGGAGGTGGAGGAGGAGGTGGAGAAGGTGGAGAAGGGAGAGTACTCTTTGGTAGGGGTGAGAGAGAGAGAAGCGTATAATATTGATCGCATCTCCGTGCCTGCAGACAGCATCTACCCACTGTTGACGGGGTTGCTACTTGGAGGTTTTAACTTTGATTCGTTGCAGGCTCGCAGTAAAGATCATGGCCGCGATTTCTGTACCCACCAAGTTCTTCTTCTGTCTCTCATTGACCCTTTTTTTTATTTGTTTTTTTTAATATTCTAGGAAGATAAGTGATTATATTTTTTTCTTGTATAAC